GACGGGCTCGGCGGTCACGTGGGGCTCGTCCGACGAGTGTGCGTCTCCGGCCACCGCGCGGTAAGTCCCCTTCGTCCGCCAGTCCTGGATATAGTCCTGTGCCATTAGATAAATTTTTGTTTTGTTCATGTAAAATAAATTGATACAAAGAGTAAATATAGAAAAACAATTCTGCTAAATGAAGCTGGGGCTAGTTTTGGCTATAAAAGTCAAAGCAGTCGCATACCTGTGGCTTGCGTCTCTTTTTGAGAGAGGGTCGCCTTGTGTGCACCGGCGTGGAGAGAGGTGTGGCGGGGGGGGGTGAAGAGGCAGTGCGGGAGGCGCGCACGCGGGGCGGAGATGAGGGCGGGGACACACCGGGGGACGCCCCCGACACCGCCTGGTACGGACCCCGACGTCGCTCACCGACGTTCTCACTCTCTAGTCTCACCATCTGGAACATCGCACATACTAATTTGTACCCTGTTACCGTATCTACTCTAAAGTTCAAAATAGTAGGTAGAGGAAGTAGTGGGGAGAAAGTATGTTGATGTAGGTGTGTATGACTACCTCTAGCCTGGTTTCGATCTTAATGTTGTCGTCGTCCATGTCGAGTATGGCGAGGTTGTTGTTGAGAGCGCTGTAGTCGACGGCGTAGTCTGCCCGCCGCGCTCCCCGCACCGCCCCGCACCGCTCCGACCCGCACTCGCTGCCCGACCCTGCCACTGACTCCGCCCTACCAACACAAAATACCATTGGCCAAGGAATGTAGAGCAAGTAGAGCTGTCAGTATAATAATTCTTGATGTAATATGTTCAATGTATACCTATTGTTATAGTCAGGTGTGCGAGGGGCGGTGGGCGTGGCGCCGGAGCCGTCCCCTTCCTCGCAGAACACCTCCCCGTCCTCGGGGTACAGCGGGAACCTGCAAATAACCATCACAAACTATTATTCACATCTTTTTATAACTAAATTTCAACCTTTCACATTTTGTACAAAGTTGAAATAGTGAACGACATTAGATTTTTTTAGCAATCAAACAGTGTTCAAAAATATGCTGCTCTTATGATATTACTAGAGTTAAATTCATAAAACAAATCATTGTGTATAAAAAATATTTTCAGCGTAAGAATTGGTAAAACATTTAATTTCAAGTGATCTAACGAATCGATGTTTATCAATATTTTCTAAAGCGCAAAAATCGTTGAAGATTATATAACTTCAAAAACAATAGTTCATAGTCCATTGATATCCAGTATTATCAATCATGTCCTATTGTTTCAAACTTAAGAATGCTCTTTAATTTTCAATAAAGTCGGCGTTCATAAACATTTATTTGTCAAGGACTTTGACAAAAAATTAATATCCCAATGATCATGTCACGAAAAAATTAAGAACAACGCCATCTAGTCTAAGGTTTGAAAAATAGTCTACTGATTCGCAACGACAAAGTAAATATTTGTTTAATAGAGTATATGAAACAAGGCTAGTACTACCAATAATACCTGTAGTTATCTTCAGAAAGGCGGTCGTCGTCATCTGTAGCTATGAACTGTACACAGAGCGCGCAGTCGCCCTTCACGCTTTGCAACGCCTGCACCGCCTCCTTGTGACATGCCTGAACACGTAATAAAATACATTTAGACATCTTACCGTTGGTTTCTGAGATCAAAGACTCTGTATAAAACATGTCGTCATCCCTTTCATTATCTTCGACAAAACAGAGATAACAATATGTTTTAACCGAGATTTTGGCTTCAGAAACGCAAGGTTAGTTGCAAGCCAAAAAGACTCCTTAATCAAAATACATTTAAGTAATTGTCGTTGAGCGCCATCTATCGTTTACCTGTGTAAGGTCGAGGTCGTTGATGGCGAGGATGGCGTCGCCGACGTACAGCTCGCCAGTGAGTGCGGCCGGCCCGCCCGCCTCCAGCTCTGAGATCAAGATAGGCACGCCGTGCTCGCGACCACCCTGTATAGTCACATTTATTTATAAATAGATGTCGCTACTAGTCACCGTACTCACAAAACTATTAGCAAGACCAAGAATCATGTCTTTAAACCTAAAAACTGACAAATATATCTAAACAGTTAGGTATAAAACAAAATAAATTATGATAGCTCACTGCGCCACTATCCACGTTAACTAATGTCATAAGATCCTTTTTGTACTGTAGCTGTAATGTCATTTTTTATCTTTTATGTAATTTTAACTGTATAAAACATATCGTCATCCCTGTCATTACCTTTGACAAAAATTTTGAACGGCGATTTTGGTCTCAGAAACCCACGGTAAGTAGGTTTTATAAATATTGTCACAGAACAAAGCGAGATAGCAGGGCACCCTCGTCAGTTCTGTCTATCTCTATCATTAAATTATTTAGCACAACTTTAAATTGCTAAATAAAAATACTAAACATACTTATGTTAATTGTGTTTCATCAATATTAATATTCACTTCATAGTTAGTGTTATGCTTTTTTGCAAAATTAGACCACCTTACCGTTTTAATATATTCAAAACAAATTTATTTAATGTAAACATTAAAAATTAACGTGTAAATAACTTGTCTAATTATATACAAGCCGATGATTAAATTAAATAATTTATGTATATGTAATTCATGAATATATTACTATGTATATTGTTAGATAAGATGTACAGCATTTATGTTAATGAAGATGTTGCGTGCAGGAAGCAATATATTATTGAGATGGCACAAGTCAAACGTATCGGCCGCTATCACCGCCGCGGCGGTCGCAATCAATATCCTTTGCGCGCAGGGCTACCACAAACACAATACGATTGCACAGACACCATAAATTATAGTTAATTCGAACAAATAAATAGTTGCTGTTCATAACTTTACTCTAGCAAAACATTTTGCATACATTTTTCACATTTATGGTGACCCTAGTTGTTGAATTAAAAAAACGAATTAGTAGCCAATGTGTTCTCTCAGACTATGTCATCTATGGCAATTTCATCGGGGTTGCGGTAATCGTTCTGATACCTTTCTAAAAACGTCCATCCATACATCCAAACATTCGCATTTATAATATTATAGTATGATTAAATTTTAACATAAAATTCACGTCTTGCTTAAAAATCAGAAAAACATTCTATAATAGTTGGTACTAACAGTGACAGATATTCCCAGTCCAAGATGCGGTGAGCGACGCACACGCACGGTGCGGGGTCGTGCGGCGGGAGCGCGCGGCCGAGGCGGGCGCGGGGACAGGCCGCGGCAGACGCGCACCAGCGTCTTGTGCCGCTGCAGCAAGATCTCTGCCTCCACCTGCCAGGTAAACGACAGATTTAAACGCGTTAAAAAAAGGTTTCTTATTATCACTATAAGTATTTTGTTATTACATTTATGCGTGGTGTGGTGATTACATTTGCTGCTTTTGATCGAATTTAACAGTATTATTTTACTTCTCAAACCAATGAGTTCGCTTATTGTCATCAATTTCTCTTATTAGGTACACATATAAAAACAAAGTATGTTACTATGTAAAGGGATTTCTAATTGTCAATAACCCTACACCACATTATTTTATCGTATAATGTTCATGAAGTATGTCGTATGAAACTGTTCCCTTAAAATTAAAGCATCATTACGTATTATATCCTTATCTAACAATTCTATTTTAGTATCGTCTAATATCATTCGCATTGCATTAGCAATTCTAGAATTTGGGAGGTTGTCACTGATCCTTTCTCGGTGACCATTTAACTAAGATTACTCAGATTGTTAGGAAGCTCCTCAACCAGTCCCTTTGGATCTAGCAAAGCTTCAGACTTATTCCAAAGGTAATACCTGTGCCCAAAGCGAGTCTCTAACTTCAGAGCGCATGTCCCTGCCGAGCAGCTGCAACTGCTGTATCCTGCCCGCCAACTCCTTGTCCAAATACTTTGTAGCCAATCTAATCGTTACAACAAAGTGATATAAATTAAATATTTTTATTCTATAGCCTAAATATGTGTTTATATACTTATAATATAAGTACTTTTTTACTGCTTTTTATCACATCAAAAAGTCAAATAAAGGTTCCTCAATCAAAAGTCAATGGAACATTATTTAGTAACCAAGATATTGCTTGACCCAAGTATTATGAAATATAAAGTCAAACTTGTTAACTATTTGCCCTTCTCTTAATAGAATCTTCGCTATAAGTGTTTTAGTTCCAGACCTTTCTATGTACAAATGTATCTCACGTTGAAATCGTAGTACTACAAGGTTAACTTAAATAAATATAAAAAGATTTTCATATCAAGCCAATTAAATGGTTGTTTTTGCTGATTTTTTTTGTGAAAAATAATTTAAAGCTTCATTAACCAAGGGCCTTCGTGCCAGGGAATGACTGCAACGTTACGCAAAAAATAAGGTTAAATAAAAAACAAAGAAACTTACATAAAGAAGTGGTTTGCGTATGAATTTTTCCAATGTTTTTTTGGAATACATCTACGTTCCTTAAGCTTAAAAAAAGTTTATGAGGGCAAAATACTGCACATATATTGAAAAGTTTATTGTATGAAATTGCTCATAACATTCATAACATTGATTGTAAGAAAAGCTAATTAAAAATAATGACGATGAAGGTTGCATGAATTTAATCTATAGAAAGCATCTAGAGCTGAATCATATCGAGACGTAGATGTCGTAAACTGAGAACTGCACATAAAAGAACTCGACTCTTCAATTAATTAATAAGTTTGTCTAGTTCAAGATTGCAACAAGCGCATGTTTGGAACAGCTTTCACACTGCAAAATCTACAACAATTTTATAGATATCAGACCTATAATTTTTATAGGTTTACCACTCTTTTCTAGTTTTAGTTAGGTTAAAAGAAGTAGGACGAAGCATGAAATAACAGAAGGTTAGCCAAAGAATTAATCACATGACAATATTATATTAATAGTAATAGTTTTGAGAAATTTAAAATCTACACTGAATAAAGTTGTATACTTTTGTCAGTTTGTAAAAAAAAAACAGATATAAGTTTTCTCTAGAACAATTAAAATATATTAGGTTGTGTAATAATTGTGCTATATACAAAATCGTGTCTCCACTGTGGATGTGATATGGTGTGATGTACATCACCTGGCTCCAAAGAGTTCTGAATGCAGGGCGAGCACGGTGTCCCGGAGCGCGGCGTTCTCCCTGGCCAGCTGCGCCGCCTCCGCCCGAGCGCGCCTTGCCTCCCCCACCTCGCCAATACCAACAGCCATCCCCTCGACACTATCCTTGCGAGCCGCTGTCAATCATTATTGTAGGAATTATATTGAAAATGTTCCTAAAGTTACGAGATTATATTATAGAGGCAGTTAGATTCGGAAGGATTTTCTTTCTTATTGCGTCACCTTCTGAAAAAGAAATGAAAGCCTCGCAAATAGGAGGCGATGGCAAACTATGATCGGGTAAAAGTTTAAGTGAAACTTAACTTCTCATTTGTGTAGATCCTGATTATTCATCATTTGTAACCACGTTTCGCGACAAATCATCCTTGTTCCTTACATGCACCTAGTTGATTGTGCATTTTATGCGGTAGTATTGTTGGCTTCAGAAAAGGTAACGTCATCCAAAGAAAAAAACGTTGTATTTCAAATGGAATATAAGAAATTAATTACGATTGATAGAATAGTTATTGACGGTACATGTGTACTTAATAACAACAAAGGAGCAAACGACCCCCGTGTGACGCGCTCCATTTGTTATTCAATCGTGAGTCAGATTTAACTTTAACTCGGCATACACGTTACGTATAATTAAACGAAACGCGTTGCATTCGTCGCCCGCGCCACCGCTATACGCCACATCGGTTTAATTTAAACTAATGAATGACACACACAGGGCTGCCAACTAGTACGCAACTTGTTAGGCGGATAGTTCCTGAAAAATTGTCAATTCAAACCTTTAGCTATTTTTGTGAGACTTTAATTATCTGCGTCGACTTTACACCGTTAGTTCTATTTTAAATATTCCATTTACTTTACAATTGAAGGCAACTTCTTTTAGCTAGTACATTGAAAGTAACTGCCCAACATTTTTATCACATGCATTACTCTAGATTCCAAAGATAGTCGAAATTTACCGTAATGCGGTAACTCTTAAGAAATAAATTATAACAAGAAAATAGACTAAACAAATTGAATCAAATCAAAACAAGTAACACCGCTATTAGAGTTTAATAGTAGGTGCGTCGGAATTTTAGATAAGAGCTCATTTGCATTCAGACAAATATTTAGGTAACATTATCTGAGTGTAAACTTGCCGAAACATTTAAGTTAAATGTTGTCTATATCCAAATATAGAAATCAATTCTACTATCTATTATTGTCGCGAACGTTTACGATAATTAAACTAAATTATACGGCGACATTTTTGACATCCCTGTTTGAGAATATTTTCACATAGCAAACCATAATGATAAAACATCAACAAAAACTTATCCATCAATCTTTAGCATCTTTAGAAAGAATATAAGCTTGGAGATTTACAACAATATTCGGTAGCTTATAAGCACAAAAAATAATGTAACATTAGGTGCAAAACACAACGGCGCCGGGTAAGCGGGATTAGTTTGAGATAAAGAAGCTTACCGACAGCCGCCCGGGCTTGCACTAACTCTGCTCTCATATCCACGAGCTCTGCCTGCGAACAAAACAAAATATTGTTGAATTACTTTGCTCAATACTAACTATAACACTATGTTGTAAGAAACAAATTATGTTTTATCTTGGGAAAGTAGTAAAGTATGTATACAATGATGGACAAAAAAGGTTGAAGAAATCCGAAGAAAATATGGAAGGATTTTGTGAATATGCGTAAGAAGTGCGAAATTTCAGATTGAATTGGGAAAGTAGTTCATGCTGAGTCAATCCTTTGTATATAAATACACAGTCATTAGGAAGTATCAACCTTTCAAGATCTTATTATGTATGATATGATATAAGTCATGAATATAGGGATGTATGAGATATGTGAAAGTATGAGATAATATTATGTGATATAATTTGTTAATAGTAGGCAATGATTTACCTATCTCTGTCTACCTTTCTTGGAATAAAATACGCGGCAATCTATCTATTTTAAGTATCTCCGAAAAGCTATTCTGAATATGTTTATACTTGTCGAATGAAGAATTCAAAATAGAAATAGCTAATGCTTAGTGAACAGCTATTGCATTCGCATTCCACGAATAGATCGAAGAATGGGCCATTCCTATTAATAAATCTTATGATTTATAATCGTACCTATTAAATATCTCAAAGTAGTTTCACTATCAACGACTTTTAATGCTGAAAATAACGATAAATGCATATTAAGTTATGTGTCTTTTAGTTAAATAATCATAAGGTCTTTACCACTGTTTTGAATTTGCAAAATATTATCTGAAATTTTATTTGACTTAAAGCGTTCACGTAAAGATTACTCTATTCAAGCTCAGCATTTCCTCGTACAATAAAATGTGATTTAGATGCCTAAGCATTGAGTCATGGTCACAATGGGATATAATCTCAACTTGAAATCAATAGCGACGTAAATTCCAATCAGAGACGACAGATGGCGGGCGTGACACGGCGCACGCGCACATAAATCCTTTAACCTTTGCCATTCCCTTAACCTGCAGGACTCACGCCTCCATCCCCCATTCACTTAAATCTTGTCTCATTTAACGTACCCGCTAATTCCTCGATGATTTATAGTATTAAATCAATTTAGCGGTGCGTCTTTCGGCTGTAAAACAAATAGTCTAAGCCTGCGGGCTACCGATAAATAATGTTAATGAAAGAGATTTATTTTCTCATTATGTTTAATAAATTTTTATTAAAGTTTGTTGTTGGAAGATGGAGCAATGTTTGGAGAGTATCATGTTTTTGAATACCGGAAGTAAGAAGCATTTTCTTTATAGAAATCAAAGTAAAAGTGTAGACTATTTCATATTTGATTTACGCTTGGATTATACAAAAAATGCTACAAATACTTTCAACTTTTTAAAATTTCTAACGATATATTAGATAGTATTTTTGTATTTTGTGAACCAAATCATATGTTAAAAACCTATTAAATTGATATGGACATGTGGGATTTGGATTGTATACGCATATTGTTTTGCAAAAATCCTTATTATTGAGAAAAATTCTATAGTTATGATGCGCAAGCTTAAGGAAAATACGTTGACTGTATCTAGACTAAACAACAGTACAATGTTCTCAAGTAAAGAATCGCACATTGAAAAGAGATAGTTTATTTCCTGATCTAGACAATAACGGGTATTATTTAATTTTTTTAAATCAATTGATCACAGTTCAAAAAGTTAAACATGATGACGTCTCTGTTTTCTCAATGATAACGTGAGGGATGACGATATGTTTTGTTTCAGTGTTTTTACAATGGAAACCCCCAGTTGTCTCTGTGCGACGATACGGAAACAGTGTGATAGGAGTCAGCGACGCGAAGTCTCGTATGCGCGGCGCAGTGCCGGTGGTCTAACGTCTGACCCGATAGACTAAGGCCAGTCACAGACTAAACAACATTACAGTATATACCTCATAAAAAAATATGAACTCTGAGATTGCCCTTCTATATAGTAGTAGTAGATGAAAAAACGACATACATTGTGCCATTTAATTCTATTTGAAGCAACCTAAGCATAACTTATTTAACAACTAAACCTGCGTTTAATTCTCAGGAGGATATTCAAAATCCTACGTCTGAAGCCACCAATATCAGAAACAAACAGGAGCCCTTTTTTTCTTTTTTTTAAAGTTGGTTTAGAAACTAGATGTCGCGCTGGAAGACAGAACAAATTATACCGCCATAAATAATTTTTTAACATAGATCAAATAACAAGGGGAGAAACATTTAATAGTGAATGTTACGTTTACTGTTTACAATGTAAATAAGTCGCCAGCCTCTCAAATTAAACATGATCGGATGCACCTAGCGCTAGCGCACTCGACCCTCAACTTATTTAATCCACCCACACACTTTATACACCCGTGTATCTAAACTGACTTCTTTATTAATTTCACAATCGGCTTTGTTAACAAATACATCTTTGGAAAGAGGAAAAATTAAAGAGTAAAACAAAGAGACCCAAAGATTATTCAGCGTAGTTTAATATAAAGATTTAAACTATGTCCTTCTGTTCCATTATGAATTACCCAAAATGTAGTTAACATTGGGTAGCCAGTCGCCAAATATTAGGAAGATTTTTTTATCTTTAGTTTTATAGCTAAACTAGCTGTCGTCTAGAGAGAATCGGTCAAGCCGTTTCAGAGGAGTATGGGAACGAAAATTGTGATACGAGAATTTTATATATAAGATAGAAACTCGCACATCACTAAACTTTATCCATTGTAAATTTTGTATGATAATTGATGTACGTTTTAGACATGAAAATGAGACTTGGTTCATTATCCAGAGATAGTGTTGAACCATGTCAGCATATAATAAGCTTGTGCAGTGTTTACGAGGTACAATACATAGTAAAGGTGTCGCGTAAAGATGACTCAGTCAGTTAAATATGAATTTTAACTAGAACAACTAATAATGATTGAAGAGCTGCCAAATTAACGGGGACAAGGACGTTAACTAAACCTGAATACGAAAAACTAAAAACAATTTGTCGCTTTTAACAAATTGGTAAATCAACAAGATGTTACTGGGTGACAATGTTTCGGTGTAGTAGAATGGAAACACTCTTACCCTGTTCTGTTTCAGTTTAAATTTTATCTTTATTTAATGCACTCAGTAGCTTGTAGATAACTTTTAACTCCATAATACTGTTGGATTTAATCTTATCGGATCAAATCGACTATTGCAATTTATCGACTCCATGAATGAAGTCGAGAATTTAGTAACGTAATATTAATATCAGTGCAAACAGTTTTTGAGCAAAGGTGTAATGCATGTGTACTTACATTGTACTTTAAACAAATGTTTGTATTCTTACATTGTAAATACATTATTGTGTCTGGTGTATTGGCATGTATCATTATACATGCCAATAACTCACAAAAAACACTCAAGAAACGTTCAAAGAGGCCTATAAAGTACACAGGCACGGCAAAGAACAAAGAGCAAGTAACGTACACAACAGTTGAATATTATAAACACGTTTTGTGAGGTTTTTAGAAAAGAATCGCTATTTTAAATTCTGTAGAGTGGAGACAATGCAGGTTGGCGGGTCGGGGAACTCGGATGCCGCGCCGAGCCGGAGACGGACTACCACAGACTTGGTGGAACAGGGTCACCACCATTGCTCTATTTGTAACAGACCATAGTCCAGATTGCAGCAGAACCATACCTTAACTAAGGAACATAATAATAAATGAATAGAAATAACCGAAACGTATTATGTTATAATAGAAAACCAAAAATCTGCACGACGAGACGTTTCGCTTCTATTACTTTTTCCTTTTCTAAAGTTTATGTATTCATGTTTTGTCTAGACTTTTAAAAGCTGTGATAAAAATATTATGTTCTTTATAAAATAACTAGATACGTTTCTTCCTCAATTAAGAATAACGCTTACAAAATATTAAACGTGTGGTTACTTTATATTCAACTGTTACGCTTAGATTACCTAACATGTTGCATAACGACATCATAAATGTTTTCCAATGGTATTTAATTTTAATAGCATAGTCATTGCAGATTTTTATAGTTAATATAGCAGCACAATGCTGGCATTGATTGCCGAAGGGCTGCATTATGTTCGTGTTATGTAAACATCGTATTGACACTAATTGTTCTCCAACGTACTATAATATTAATAATATCCATTATAATTTTATATGTTGTTTTTAATGAACTTCTTCAAAAGAAAAGCTGAATAAACAAATGGATTTTTAATCTTAAATATTGGTTTTTTGTGTTTATTTATTATTAATAAAATAATTCAATAGAACATTCAATTTATGCAAGAGGTACTCGATAGAATGTTTTTAAAACTAAAAATATCCATAAAATTATAAAGTAACAAAATCTATAATTTAATGTATTCCTATGACATAACATATTCTCAGCAAGTACTTTGTCTGTTTGTAACCTTAACCTTACGTCTGTGTTCTGTGTTTTTATAAGTTATGTTGTAAAATGTAAAATTGTAAGTATCTTTGAGATAGCGTCTTTGGAAGGGCGCTTTGAGCAATTTCAAAGAGTTACAGCTCAGCTTCGTGTCTTATCGACAATTCGCCATCGAGTCTATTCAATGCTTAGCTTTTAGCACTGCCTAGGTCTCGTACCTGTATTCTTGACACACATTTGATTATGCGCTTCGTCTAGGTGTAAACACTTTACGCTCGGTTTAGTCAAATAGTTAAAACATAATGACACAAGATTTTCATTTCAATTTTCAAACAAATACTCGAAAATACAAACTGCAATGCGCTTAAATGTCGACAGACTCATGAGTTAAATACTTGTTTGTATACGTTGAATTGATTTCAAAATCTGCTATGTAATATAACTTTATAAATAGCAAAGTACCTTGTTATATTATAATACAAAGACTATTATTTCATCTATTACATAAAAGCACCTACACCTAAATTACGTAAGCAAGTTCTTTTATTCAGATATATGAAAATGAATTAGTTTATTGATTATTGTCGACAGATTGCTGCAAGTTGATCAAAGCAAAG